TCTAGGTTTTGCTAGTGCTTCGCTATATTCAAATAACCAGAGTTAAAGTAACCAATATCATATTACCAAGTGCATCTTACAAACTAATGAAGTAGGTGTTTTAAGGAAAGATGAAAAAGATGTCTGTGTCAGTTAGAATATGTTTTAATGAAAAAAAGATAGATAGTTCTATGCAATAATTGTCTGATTGCTAATAAGTTTGATATTAAATATAAAATAAATTACGAATTTGGGATTGAAAAAATAATGTCGTGCAATGCTTCTTACATGTATAATAAACTAAGTTTACCTATTTTAACAAAGACGGTCTTCAACGTAAGATTTAAATTGGTTTCATAGGAAAACTATTTACTGGGAAGGAAGCACGGGATCTTTCTTAGGAAACGGAATATTCTAAAGCTCAAAGTTCCAATATTTTGCGGAAGGCCGAATTTTTTTTTTTTTTTTTTTTTTTTTTTTTTTTTGTCCGGAGACATTTCGAAGTTTGAAAACTGAAATAAACTCTGTTATTGAATCTCGCATGAAGAACATAATCTTATTTTCAGAGTAAAATTTGATTTGTGCTAGATTTGGCAACCTTGGGATGATCTGATTTGTGACAAATATAACGGATGTTTATAGATAAAAATAAAAATAAAAATTACCTAGGAAGCTACGAATTAAAAGGTTTCATAAAAAGCAAAAAACACAAGGATTATCTTCTATGAAATAACCTGCATTCCTTCATCAGCGTAAAACAACAAACACAGACGCATTTGTGTGCACATGATAGCATAACATAGCATAACATGAGAAACTTAACTGTATAACCATTTCGGACAGATTACTTTAAATATATTTCTAGTGCACCAAAACTCTGATCTATGAATAATATAAGTGTGTGTATAATATAAGCAAAATTGTTAATATGTAAAAGCTCCTAATACCCATCTTTGTCTTAGTTTTAATATAGATTAATGCCTTTAAAATAACTTTCTGATGTTCATCATTCAAAGGAAAAAGGCACACATAAGATACTTGTATAAAACCACTGATGCACAACAAGCTTACATTATAGAAAGAGATAAAATATCAGTTCTTTGACCAATAACATTTCTTAATTTTAAAATAATCAGATTAATGGAACTGCCTATTTGAATTAGATAGGTGCTTATAATTTAAGTAGGAAATTTATCTTCTTTCGATTATCTCTTTAATGAAACACGTAAATCAGAATTTATCAAATTTAATTCAATGAACGCTAAGCTTAGCTTGTGTATATTCATTTGTATAGGCTTCTTTACATAAATAGACGTTAAATAGAGAAGAAATAAAAATCCACAAGTGTTTTATTTGTTTGGCATGTTCCAAGCGCTTCATGAGCATCAACTATCTAGGATCATCCTGTCCACACACTACTATTACTATACGGTAAAATAGCTTCCCTGCAAAGCGGGTTTAGGGTTTCCAGAAAATGTCAAGAGAATGGCAGATTTGCCATATTTGGCGAGAAATCTCTCATTTGGTGACAAAACTAGTGATGCGCCATAGACGGATGGAGGACCTTCTAGAACAAATTCTCACAAGATTAGACCAGAATGTTCTCGAATAAGGAGTCCCTGCATGCGGAGTCCCAGTCGGTCAGCCAGTGTCTCGTCTAACGAGTTGATCGCCAGTCTAGTGTCGAGTTGGTCGTCAAGAGTGTCGTGAGTCTACCGAGTGTATCGTCGAGTGCATCCCGAGTTGTAGCGTGGAGAGTCTCGAGAGTACGTTCCAAGAACGACCGATCAGAGTCTGTAGCTGTACTCTGGTGCTTTGCCGTGACGATGTCTTCACTGGTATAGCCTGAAGGCTGTGTTGCTGATTGTTTCAGCGTGTTTATAGTAGTTTTTCGAAGACTGTTAACGTGATTTTTGAGCTGCTCTTAGTAATACCGGCTAATAAACTGTCTCTGATTCTTCGTCAAGTGTTGTCGTTAATCACTTCAAATCTAAGAACCCGTGCCGAAACGCAACAATATATAATGGAAAAAAAACTTATTCATTCCATATTAAAATTCATCCCGTATTAAATTCGGAATAAAAACATGCAACCCCGCCAAAAAAATAGAGACATTGTGGTAGACCTTAAGAAATAGAGAGGGGCGCAAATCTTAAAAAACTGAAAACTAAAATAAACATATACATCTTTCGCTTAATTGTGATCTCCGGGTTGGTGCAACGAAATAACTAGATAAATATATAATAAATAAATAAAATAAACAATAAATTATATAATAAATTAAATAAGAATAAATAAACATATAATAAATAATCAATTACATAATTAATAAATAAATAATATAATAAATTAATAAATTAAAAAAATAAATTATATAAGAAATAAATAATAAACGAAAATAAATAATAAATAAAAAACTATTTCTAAACTGACAAGGACACATTAAAACTTAAAATTTAAAAATAATCTTTGAATAAAAATAACTTTAAAAAAACAATTAAAGTAATCAGTCAAACTCGTACAGACCGAAGTAAGCCGTGCAAAATTTGTAGCATAAAAAAAAAAAAAAAAAAAAAAAAAAAAAATGATTGCGGATTAATAATGCAATTTAAAAACTGAGTAGAACGAGTCCCCAAAAGCAAAAATAATAATCTAACACTTGAAAAAACCAAACCATATGAATAATGAATATTCTAAAATTCAAACTTGTGAAAATAAACTAAAATGCATGCAAATTTTGAAAATATACAGGCCGCGTTAGAAATCAAAGCATAATTCATAAACAAGCATAAAGCTTAAAAATCTAATAACACATTTTTTTTTTTTTTTTTTTATTTTAGGAAACCAAGTCCATAAACATGCAAAGCAGAAGTTATGCATGCAACATGTTCAAAAATACAAGAACAATTAAAATTTTATCTAAATAATGTTAAATTACAGGCCGAAGTAAGGAGTGCAAAATTATAGCATCAAAAATAAAATAAAATAAAATGTTCAAAACGATTGAGAAATAATAGACAATTAAAAAAAAAATGAGAAGATCGATATATGCTATTCTAGTCATATATATACTACACGTGCCAGTGTTACACTTCTCATAAATATATATATGATGAGGTATGCAAACATACTCGCATGCATACATTCATACATATCTATGCTTAATGCGTGGAATGGAGTTTTGATGAATACTTGTCCTGCGGCAATGTAGTGAGAAACAAATTACTTTCCAGCATTTAATTTAAATGATATAAATAATTTAGTATACTATGTACATATTCAATGCTAACCTTAACTGGAATATATTTTACTAATGCCTGTTCTTACTTTGTATGCTTTATATACATTAGAGAAACAACGCAGTAGGATTGCAATTATCCTAGTTCCAACTAACTGAAATTTCGTGAGATTTATGACGAATACCTAAGCTTAACTTTCTGTCTTTCTTTATATTTGGAAGTGTTTTGTCGTAAATATTCTACAAAATGCAGAACAGAGCTTCCAATTATTTTCTCACTGATTTAAACACCAGCGAAACCACACTTTTGCGTACTGGACTGCGGGAAGACATTTGCGCATGCCCAACATTTTAAAATGTTATGCAGCGTAAAGACACTAAAGAAGAATACGTTACAGGAGCTTTTTGAGGAAGTTCAAGATAATAAAATGCGAACAAAATATTGTGCTTCTATGAAGTATAATAGTTTTAATTTTAATATCATTAAGGCACAAATACTGATTTTGAGCATTCAAATGCAGTTACAACATTGTCTAAATATGACACGTCCAGAGCAAAAATTAGTTCTTGAACTGGTCCAGTAATAAAGGACGTAAGCAAGAATGTCAATCTTAGATTCATTATATATTTCATCTAGAATCTCGCAGTATTTTGTTTTGCCAGAGTTTTGTTTTAGAAGTCAAGGTAATCTCTGAATTCTAGACACTTCTTTTTTCCCTGTACAGGAAGGGGTATATATAGCTTTAACCTACCTTCGAGAATATTCCCGAGAAAACTGCTAAAAATGCGTTTTAGAATGTTCTCGCTACGTCTAAGAAATATAACCAATTGTATCACCAAGTATCGCCAAATGGACGATTTCGCACCAAATCTGGTAATCCTGTCTTTCCCTGCCATATTAAAAATATCTTGTTAAAATGTTTTTGTTGTAATAGTATTTTATTTCAGAATAAAATTAAAAGCTTTAAAATATTTTACTTCCATGTAGCAACACCAGAAACATACCTATTTTTGACAAAATTAGTAATAAAAATATTTTTATTTGCCTAAATACGCCATGCATTCCTTCTGTTTGAACTAAAATTAACTAATTGTTTACTGTTTATTTACGTAGACGCTAAAAGTAAACATGCATTTTTGTTTTTAATTTCATTTATTTTAATGATTTATTTGCACTAATGCAAATTTAAACAAAGAAATCATTTTTATTCGCGAAAGGCAAGCTTCATTAGTAATTTTTATTTAACGAAAAATAAATTAAGACGTTGTTTTTAATTGCTTACTACAATAATTAAAGAAATAAATAAAAAAAATGATATAAAACATGCAATGCATACGATTAAATTTTTTCATTTATAATTTAATAAAGAATTAAGAATGCGTAAAATATAATAAACGTGCTTAAATGCTTCTTAAATATACGTGCATTTAGCAAGTTAAAATACATATGGTAATAAAAAACAAGCTTAATACTAACGGCAAATTAATTTTTTATTCACAGCTAATAAAATAAATATTGCGTCGGACAACTGAAGGCCGGATAAATGAATGGTTTTATGAACGTTTTCTTTTGCTTATATTCTGCAGTCTTATCCTTATCAGTTGGCTGATATGCGTTTGTAGTTTCCAGGTCTTTGTTGTAATTAATTATTTTTAGTCATATTTAGGCTTTATATTTTCATTTCACTTTTATATACACAAATGTGCATCACAAACATACGTAGGCTATCTTCTAAAGCTTCCGTAAACTGCACAATAAACATTTTTAATTTCCTAAACTTACCAAATGTTCAGTAAGAAAAGTATCCTTGATATTACTCGATAGCGTGGTCTTGAAAGGATACTTCAAAGAGAAATGACTTCCGGCATGCTGCAGCTTGAAAATTTGCCAAAGAATGACTACGATTTTTACTTCTGAAGGGGAAAAAAGATAGTACCTTATCACGAAACGTGCGAAACAATAGCAGCCAAGTACATAAAAAATGTCTCACGCAATCTCTGTGGGTTTTAATGACTAAATGCCTTCAGCAATGCGCCTGTAAATATTGCTTTACAGGATTACTCCCTCTGGCAATACTGCATCTGATACGTCAGCAGAGATAGAAAAATATTAATAAAAAATACTTGAGATAGATTGTCGTATCTCTGCAGTACTAACTTTTTTACGTTATCTTTTTGAAGCTTTTATCAGTTTTATTAAATATCTTCATGGAGGAATTTAACTTCCTCTTTAAACTGCAGGATCCTGCTTTCAGAGAGATAAGTTCGGCTATAACAGACTGAGATAAAAGTTTAGAATTTTTAGTTTTTATAGAGTACTGATATGTTATAAGGTGTAACTAATGTAAAGAAGAGGTGTTTCCTTTCAGAAAAGTTTCAGGAAGTTGAACTTATTACCGTCATTATATATTTTTTAAGTTTCTAAGCTTATTACAAATTGTTTTATCTTTAATTTTTTTATTTGGTATTTATTCTTTTGTGTATATGTTAATTTTTTGTTAAGGCTATAGATGCACTAAAAGAAATTTACTTTAAGGTAGAAAACGAGTAAGGAAATTAAAACCGTTTTAAGTTTGCTATATAAAGGAAAATGCTTTAGTAAATGAAACTCGTATTTAGTCTTCAATTCAGTATAAGAAGAAAAAGGTTGTAGGGTTTATATTTATTTTAACTAACATTTATTTTAAGTTTAAACTATCTTTCCTGTCAAGCCCTACTTTCCCCTGGAATTGCCAATGCCAGAGTATGTAAATTTTAGTAGAACGCGCAAAGTATTCAAAATTGTCAGCGGAAGTAATCTGATTTAAATAGAAGGGAACGAGTTCGAAGTGTGCTTTCTTGCTTCACGAGCGTGGAGGTGGCTAGTTAGAAATTGAAGAACCACACGTATCGGCCTGTGTGCTTGCCTCGGCAGATAGTTAAATTTTTCAACGTAATATTCAGAAGTTTGCTGAATTATCAGCGGTATCTTAGAACGCGGTTAGGTTAATTACGTTTAGAGAGCCTCGTAGGTAGTCACTTGTTATTATTCATTTTTAGTTTCTTATTTTTATTTTACCGCCGGGTCGGCGTAGTTTGTGAGCGTCAAGAGCACGCATCTGTAATTTCTAAAGTTGAATAAAAAGGGATTTAAACCCTTCTCAAGACTTTGTATACTTTCCAGTTCATAGCAGTCACCACTATTGTTGCGTGCAGGTTGGGAGCGCGCAACATTACAAGGTGAAAAAAAAAAGTGTTATCCTGAAACTAAGGCTTTAAATATTTGCTTTTATGAATGATGTACAGGAGTGGTAATCAAAAGTCACCTTTATGTAAATTACATTGTATCTTTAGTAATAAATATTTATTTGACATTAATCTAGGTCGTCATATTAATTGTTATAGTGTCTCTTTTTGGCTTTACGTTTGCAAATTTAAGCTTTTTAATATTGCATAATGCTATTCCATATATGCTTAGAGTATCACGAAATTAATAAATAAAACAAAATATTTAGTGCATAGTAATATTATATACACGCGCAGCGGCGTAGAAGTATACATTTGTAGCAATATAATAATACTGAACACATACGTTCTTGTATGTGCGAAATATTTTTACTCTGTAATGCATTTTTATTACCGCACTCAAATACTCATACATCCGTTCAAGTTATTCCAAACCTGTCTTTCCGTACGTACGTAAACATGTGCGTATACTTTTAAAAACTGTCTAATATTAATAAACTTTGAATTTGTCCCTATAGACCTGTATTAAAGAAATTAATATTTCGAAAAACTAAAAATTCTTAAAATACTTTTTGAATTATTACTCCAAAAATGAGATAAAATTTAAACCGTTGCAGTAAAAAGTGTATGAATGTTTTCTTTGAGTACTAGACTATTAATATCTCTGTTAGTTCAGAATTAAAAGTGCTTCAGTTTTTTTCCAATATTAGCAATCAAGAACTTGGACTTAAAAATAATTTAAGATTTAAGATTTAATTTTGTGTCTTTATTATTACATGTAACATGAATGCAAATTTAGAAATGTAAATAAAATACAAAGTTTTTTTTATTATTATAGAAATATGTAAGATAAATGTCATTGTGAATTATACATTTAATTAGCAACATCCTCTTAGTGCTTCTTTTTAATTTGGACATTTCCCCCTCTCCATTTTAAAAATAATATTAACTTTTCCGAAACGGCGTCATATCTGAAACCTAATTTCGCATTATATTATCTTAAGCTTTTGCCCTGCGTATAGTTCTTAGCCAATAAGGTTAAAGAAAATTTTTAATATAAATACCACTGCAATCCAACTACGCTTTCTCTTTCTAATCTAACTAATCTTTCGCCCTTCATTTCTACTCTGGGTTACACGAAAGCTTGGCTCGCTGTATCGTCCATTGTTTGAAGAAAGGCTAAGTTTTAGGATTATGGCTGTAGCCCATCATACTCTCTGAAAAACGCTGAAATGTCAACATGACAGATTTCCCAAAATTTTCTTAACACTTTTAGCAGAAGCCTCGGTTTCGGAATAGTAAATCTTTTTGGATGTACAAGGAGTAAATTATTAGCTATAAAACAATATGCACGAAACCCAGTAAGATGGCACCTTTAGTGCACAACAATATGCAAAAGGTAATCTGACCTACAAGATGACCTAAGATGAATCAAGATGACCTTGATTTGATTGATTCTCTGGTGCGACTTTAAAATCTGAATCCTTTCAGAATTCCCTTCTCTCTTTTTTTAATAATATACATAATTTACAAAAATATTTGATGAAAATTGTATTCAGAACAGTAAGCAATATACAGAAAATTCAACAATTAGCCCAGCATAATATCGAATTCATATAAACGGAAGTGCAATTTTACCCCTAGTTTTGTAGAGGCATTAAGTTATTTCGGAAGCAAGAAAGATGAAAAATGAGCAGCATCTTCGTCGGGAATCGAACCACGAACTACGCGCCCAGGGTGCAGACCACCACATTACGAAGGGATGCTAAGAAAGCGGGATAAATATCTTATAAACTTTGTAGAGGCATTAGGTTATTTCGGAAGCAAGAAAGATGAAAAATGAGCAGCATCTTCGTCGGGAATCGAACCACGAACTACGCGCCCAGGGTGCAGACCACCACATTACGAAGGCATGCTAAGAAAGCGGGATAAATATCTTATAAACTCCCCCTTTTAAAGGGCGACTGGGGTTTTAGGGGACACAGTTTTCAAATCCTGGGGGTGGAGAATCTTCATTCAACAACCTCTCAGTTCGGGTGCCACTGAAGAGACATTAAGCATTTTTTGGAAGCAGAAGTGATGAAAAACGAGCAACGCCTTTGTCAGGTATTGAATGACGGAACTCTGGAATACGCGCCCAGCGTGCAGAACACTTCACCACGAAGGCACGCTAAGAAAGCGGGAGAAATACCTTATATACTCCCCATAGGCCGACTTGTATTTTTTCAGAGGATCCAATCGCCAAATTCTGGGTACGGAGAATCATCATTCAACACCCTTTTAGTTCGGGCGCCAATGTAGAGATATTAGGTTATTTGGAAGCCGGTGAGTTGAAAAATGAGCAACGCCTTCACCGGGAATCGAACCACAGACCGCTGCAATACTCGCCCAACGTGCAGATCACCACACTACGAAGGCATACTAAGAACGCGGGAGAAATACCTTATTGTCTAAACAATTATTTCTAGAAATATATAACATAAATAACTAAACTCCGCTTTTGGGAACAATTACAATAACTCTGCATATATTTCGATGATAAGTACACCGAAAACCACCTCTGAAAATGTACAGTATTTCTGTGAAAATAAGTATACGTGAGTGGTGCTGAACATCAAAGTTATACTCTGTAAGATGACCTTCTTCTAAGAAAGCAAAAGTCGTTGGAAATCATGAGGTCTGTTTCAGAGTCTTTGGTAATGTCTGAACAACTGAAAAATATAGTATTAATTCAGAAGTCAAACAACAAAAATCAGCGTTATATTTACGAAATTTTCACAGGACTAGTTTCGATGGTTTTACCGAACCACCATCCTCAGCTGCAAAACCACAAATGAACAAGATAGGAAATAATGACTAGATAAGATAAGAAAGCCTGGACAAGAATAAGCAATTGGCGCCATCTGTTGGTGAAACCAGAGCTAAAACATAATTTCTTTAAAGGCCGAAGGCAAATTTGGATTGGAATTAGGATCGTTAACTAGAACAGAAAGATTTTTATGAATGTGAAATACCCCTAGAAAATCCAGTTCTCCAATGGAAGATGTTTTTTGATTAAGATTTTTATGAATGTGAAATGCCTCTAGAAAATCCAGTTCTCCAATGGTATCAAAAACACTTTCATTGGAGAACTGGATTTTCTAGAGGCATTTCACATTCATAAAAATCTTTCTGTTTTAGTTAGCGATCCTAATTCCAATCCAAATTTGCCTTCGGCTTTAAAGAATTATGTTTAGCTCTGGTTTCACCAACAGATGGCGCCACTTGCTTATTCTTGTCCAGGCTTTCTTATCTTATCTAATCATTATTTCCTATCTTGTTCATTTGTGGTGTTGCAGCTGAGGATGTTGGTTCGGTAAAACCATCGAAACTAGTCCTGTGAAAATTTCGTAAATATAACGCTGATTTTTGTTGTTTGACTTCTGAATTAGTATTTATTCGGCGTGTTATTGTGTCTTAAATATACGTATGTTTAGGCTAATCATGTTATAATATGAGCACATTTCAAACAACTTTTTCGCTGATGATTTTCTTCTTGATCATAGGCTTCGGATCATAGACATTGTAACCAATTTTTACTATAAATGCTAACGAAACATGGGACAAGTGAGATGGAGACAAATAGTTAAAGAATAGACAGGCAAAGAAAATATGCATAA